CTGGGGATACAGGGTCCCGCACGCACTGACTCTCACTGGGGATACAGTCTCACACACCGACTCTCACTGGGAATACAGTCTCACACACATGGACACTCACTGGGGTACGGTCCCACACACACTGACTTTCACTGGGGTTACAGTCCCACACGCACTGACTCTCACTGGGGTACAGTCCCACACTCACTGACCCTCACTGGGGTACGGGTCCATGAATCCTATTTTTCCCTCTGCTACCTGTACCTGCCGGTTTGCTCCCTGTGTGAAGCTCTGTCTGCCTGAGGTTTGAGAGCAATGTCGGGGCCCCAGTCAGGGCCAAATGACTGAGCGGCGGCTAGCTGCTGACGTTCCTCTGAGTACAGACTGTTAGACATGTCTCTCTGTGTCAACAGGCTGTGTTTCTCAGGACACCATGACACTTCCAAAAGTCCCCAGGAATCAATGTCCAGCTGCAAAATCGAGCCGCTTTTCTATCTTGGGCTAGCACACGCTTGGCGTGTCTGAGTCACCTCTGCGAGGATTGAGCTAGAGCAGCGTGTTGCAGAAGTCTGGGCACTGAGTTTCCCAATCCTACATGCCAGCTACAAACAGCTTGGGGGAAGCTGGCGATGGCTGTACTCACTGTGTAAGCTCCGGTTCAGTTTGAGACATGAAGCGGCTTCTCTATGGGAGCGGATCACTTGGGCAGTCCAGGCAGGCCTTGGCTGTCAGAGAGAGAGAGCAGCGAAAGTGGGTGTGTTCAGTGCTGAGCTGTGCCAAGTATTAGATAAGTGTCTATTATGGGCTGGGTTCGATTACACGGAGAAAAGCAGGAACTGCCCTCGGTTAGACTGCAGGCTCGGCTCTAACGGGGTTCTTACACGCTGCTCCCATGAATGTAGCAAACAGCGGGAAGCGAAGGGCCGCTCCCAAACAAAAGCGACAGTTTTGTTTTAAAAAGATTACTCACAACATACAGACAGCTCCATGCTGTGAAAACAGGCAGGCTGAATAGTTCTAGAAGCTCCTGGACCATCTCCAACACCAGGATGCTGCTTCTGGTTTGTTGGAAATGCTGAGTACAGTGCAAGTGGAGGGTCAATCACGCTAGCTGGATCCTACCTCAAATAGAGTTCCTTTAGGTAGGGACATCCTAATCAGGATATTACCAATCCAAGATGTGTGCCCAGTGACCGAAGACTACACAATGCGGGCATGTGTGCCCAGCAGTGCCCATCTACAGGTTGTCAGGTCAATGTGGGAGTCCTTTGGGCCCTACAGATCATTATATCATTGTAGCAGATTATGGTACCCAAACCATGCATGACCCATTTGTGCCCCCTGCACTCCTGGGTATGGCCACTGATTCTGAAAACTTTGTGGGAACAGACCAGCTGTTGTATGGGGGTGCAGGCTTCAAATTGTGGCAGTTTGCCTGTCACTCCTCACCAGTCCTACCCTAACATTGCCTGTTGGCAGCTAGACCACCCATGTTCTCATAACCTTTCAAAACATCAATAAGAAACGCAATTCCATAGGGATGGAAATATGAACAGGATCATGAATATACTATACTATACTATAATTCCATTTCCCTGCCTTTGCTCCAGATCCTAATTCCTTTACCACTAAATTCTATCATAGTTTTGAAATCTCCAATTTTATGCAGAGTGCTACAGTTTTCTCATCTCCTTTGGAGATAATGTGGAAGTGGGATGGGAACCAAATGGGGAGGATGGTGGACAGTAAGGAGGTAGTAACTAAAGCCTGTAAGGAACTAGATAATGAAGTCAGTGTGACTAAAGGGAAGAGTAGGCAGAGAGCAGATGATGAACACAAAGGGACAGGTGATCTGAGGCGCATTTGTTTTAATGTGACAAGTGTCGTAGGTAAGGCAGATGAACTTAGAGCTTGGATTAGTACCTGGGAGTATGATGTTATTGCTATTACTGAGACTTGGTTGAGGGAAGGGCAAGATTGGCAATTAAATATCCCAGGATATAGATGCTTCAGGTGGGATAGAGAGGGAGGTAAAAGGGGTGGAGGAGTTGCATTACTGGTCAAAGAGGATATCACAGCTGAAGGAGGGCACTGTGGAGGACTCAAACAGTGAGGCAATATGGGCAGAGGTCAGAAATAGGAAGGGTGCGGTAACAATGTTGGGGCTGTACTACAGACCTTCCAACAGCGAGCATGAGATAGAGGTACAAATATGTAGACAGATTATGGAAAGATGTAGGAGCAACAGGGTGGTGGTGATGGGAGATTTTAATTTTCCCAACATTGACTGGGGTTCATTTAGTATTAGGGGTTTAGATGGAGGGGTTTGTAAGGAGCATCCAGGATGGTTTTATAGAGCAATATGTAAATAGTCCAACTCGGAAAGGGGCCATACTGGCCCTGGTGTTGGGGAATGAGCCCGGCCAGGTGGTTGAAGTTTCAGTAGGGGATTACTTTGGGAATAGTGTTCACAGTTTTATAAGTTTTAGAATACTCACCGACAAAGACGAGAGTGATTCTAAAGGAAGAGTGCCAAATTGAGGGAAGGCGAACTATATCAAAATTCGGCAGGAGCTGGGGAATGTGGATTGGGAGCAGCAGTTTGAGGGTAAATCCACATTTGATGTGTGGGAGGCTTTTAAAGAGAGGTTGATTAGAGTGCAGGGCAGACATGTCCCTGTGAAAATGAAGGATAGAAAGGGCAAGATTAGGGAACCATGGATGACAGGTGAAATTGTGAGACTAGCAAAGAGGAAAAAGGAAGCATACATGAGGTCTAGGTGACTGAAAACAGATGAAGCTTTGTAAGAATATTGGGAAAGTAGGACCAATCTGAAACGAGGAATTAAGAGGGCTAAAAGGGGTCATGAAATATCTTTAGCAAACAGGGTTAAGGAAGATACCAAAGCCTTTTATTTGTACATAAGGAGCAAGAGGGTAACTAGAGAAAGGGTTGGCCCACTCAAGGACAAAGGAGGGAAGTTATGCGAGGAGTCAGAGAAAATGAGTGAGATTCTTAATGAGTACTTTGCGTCGGTATTCACCGAGGAGAGGGACATGACGGATGTTGAGGTAAGGGATAGATGTTTGATTACTGTAGGCCAAGTCGGCATAAGGAGGGGAGAAGTGTTGGGTATTCTAAAAGGCATTAGGGTGGACAAGTTCCCAGGTCCGGATGGGATATATCCCAGGTTACTGAGGGAAGCGAGAGAGGAAATAGCTGGGGCCTTAACAGATATCTTTGCAGCATCCTTAAGCATGGGTGAGGTCCCGGAGGACTGGAGAATTGCTAATGTTGTCCCCTTGTTTAAGAAGGGTAGCAAGGATAATCCAGGTAATTATAGACCGGTAAGCCTGATGTCAGTGGTGGGGAAGCTGCTAGAGAAGATACAGAGGGATAGGATCTATTTACATTTGGAAGAAAATGGGCTTATTAGTGATAGGCAGCATGGTTTTGTGCAGGGAAGGTCATGTCTTACCAACTTGATAGAATTCTTTGAGGAAGTGACAAAGTTGATAGATGAGGGAAGGGCTGTAGATGTCATATACATGGACTTGAGTAAGGCGTTTGATAAGGTTCCCCATGGTAGGCTGATGGAGAAAGTGAAGTCGCATGGGGTCCAGGGTGTACTAGCTAGATGGATAGAGAACTGGCTGGGCAACAGGAGTCAGAGAGTTGTAGTGGATGCGAGTTTCTCAAAATGGAGAACTGTGATCAGTGGTGTTCCACAGGGATCCGTGTTGGGACCACTGTTGTTTGTGATATACATAAATGATCTGGAGGAAGGTATAGATGGTCTGATTAGCAAGTTTGCAGATGACACTAAGATTGGTGGAGTAGCAGATAGTGAAGGGGACTGTTGGAGAATGCAGTAGAATATAGATCGATTGGAGAGTTGGGCAGAGAAATGGCAGATGGAGTTCAATCCAGGCAACTGTGAGGTGATGCATTTTGGAAGATCTAATTCAAGAGCGAACTATACGGTAAATGGAAAAGCCCTGGGGAAAATTGATGCACAGAGAGATCTGGGTGTTCAGGTCCATTATACCCTGAAGGTGGCAACGCAGGTGGATAGAGTGGTCAAGAAGGCATATGGCATGCTTTCATTCATCAGACAGGGTATTGAGTACAAGAGTTGGCAGGTCATGTTGCAGTTGTATAGGACTTTGGTTCGACCACATTTGGAATACTGTGTACAGTTCTGGTCACCACATTACCAAAAGGATGTGGATGCTTTGGAGAGGGTGCAGAGGAGGTTCACCAGGATGTTGCCTAGTATGGAGGGCGCTAGCTATAAAGACAGGTTGAGTAGATTAGGATTATTTACATTAGAAAGATGGAGGTTGAGGGGGGACCTGATTGAGGTCTACAAAATCATGAGAGGTATAGACAGGGTGGATAGCAAGAAGCTTTTTCCCAGAGTGAGGGACTCAATTACTAGGGGTCATGATTTCAAGGTGAGGGGGAAAAAGTTTAAGGGAGATATGCATGGAAAGTTCTTTATGTAGAGGGTGGTGGGTGCCTGGAATGCGTTGCCAGCGAAGGTAGTACAGGCGGGCACGATAGCGTCATTTAAAATGTATCTAGACAGATACATGAATGGGCAGGGAGCAGAGGGATACAGATCCTTGGAAAATAGGTGACAGGTTTAGATAGAGGTTCTGGATCGGCGCAGGCTTGGAGGGCTGAAGGGCCTGTTCTTGTGCTGTAATTTTCTTTCTTCTTTGTTCTTTGTTCCTTTGTGTGACGTTATGACCAGACCCCAAGGTGAGGTTCCTCAAATTATTACGCTTCCAGATAAATAGCTAAAATCATCAAGTTCCTCAGTGAGGAGGGATGAATTTCTTTATTCATCCACCCCATTGGTTGGTTGCATTAATTTATAAAGGATTTCTCCCTTGTGGATACCTTTCTGCCTGACCAAATGAATTGATGCTTTGAAAGGAGCAGATTTAACCAGGCTATTTTCAGTTCACTGGAGAGCGAGTTTATTAATTATTAAACATGAAACGATAGAATGATGTAATACTCAAACACAGGTTAGGAATAAGATCTGAGCCTAAAGAAAGACTAAAGTTAAAAGATAAATGAATCTGATTCGTTAGGGTTTTTCATGAAGAGTAGATTGTCAAACATTGCTAGTTTAACTTTAGGATTTTTGGTTTTGCAGTTAGTTGAAATCCTTTAGTCCTGTTTCCTTTGGTGGTGATTGGCTGGGAGCAGTCAGAGTGAGAAAGTCCTGCTGCCTGTAATTGGTTTGCTGGCTGGTTGGTCTGTAGCTCTCGGTGGAGACTAATGATTGTTTCTTTAGCAGTGGCCTTCTCAGTAGACTAGCATTCTCATGCTCGCACATGAGTCTGAGTTCACTAACACACCTTCACCCACTGGCACACACAGACCAAGTTCCCAGTCAGTTTTTAACTTTTTTTTAACTTTTTTTGTATAATCCTAGAGGGGCAAAACACAATAAGATGGCTGCAAGAGGTAGCTTTATGCTGAGAGGGGAGAGATAGGCCCCTTGTTACCTCTTCCTGTTACATCTCTCTCTCTTTCTCTCTCTCCCCCATAGGTGTAACATTTCATGGGTCCCACACAGGACTTTGTCTGACAGTCACTGCAATTATGTCTGCATTCTTTTGTCTGTAGAAATCCTCTTTAAAACAAAAAAAGTCTCTGTTTCAATGACACTTCCCCAGCAGGATGATCCATTCTGATTTTGTTAAAAAGCATTGAAAAAGAATTAGTGACATAGAACATCAAACAGGTT